GGGGTGGGGCGGGAGGGCCACATCACACATGTTACCTGGATGCATCCCGTCCCGACCCACTACCTGGACCCCGCAGGGCAGGAGGAGGTGGACCCACCTAGCTCACCCTTGCAACCCCCGCAATGCCAGGTGGCCGATCAGACGGCACGACCCGGGCTCGGCTCGGCTCTTGCTCGGCTTGGCTCGCCGGGCCAGCATCCAACCCGACACGCATTTTTTAGGGTCGCATTAAAAGAGGCACCAGGGGTCACGGGCACGGCGGGGGGATGCCTGCTGCTGGCTGCCAGCTCCGGCTGCGCGGCACAGGCTGCGCCGCCGCCACAGGAAGCGGGAGAGACAGAAAGGGTCAAAATGTGCGCACAGCCTGGCCTGGCCGCCCCGGCCGCCCCTCTCGACACTCCACCAGTCGGAGCCCCCGCCACGCCACGCCCCGCCACGCCGCGTTAGCCGGCAGGAAGTGCAACATTGCAAAGGGGCTGCTCGCTGCACCCCACGCCAGCCGGGGCCCCTCCTCGCCCAGATTGCGCAATCGCCGAAGACGCTGCCGCTGCACCCCCAGTAGTTTCCCACAAGTTGTCTGTCCTATTCATTGTCACTACCGCGGTGCTTAAAATGCAAAACTGTCCTCTCTTCTTCTTCTTCCTCGGCCCTTTGGACCGCGAAGCGCGCACCCCTCCGCGCTGCTGGACCAGCGGCGACTCGCGGGTCGCACCGGCCTTCACGCATGTTGAAAGGTCGCCCCCCTCCCCCCTCTATTGCCTCCGGAGGTGCGGTTTTGAGTCGGAAAACGAATAAATTGAGGTGGACATCCCTCTGTCCTTTCCGCCGGCGCGGAGCCGCGCCGCCAGCACCACTGCAGCGGTAGGGAAATGGGCGGCAAATAAAATAATAAAACCCTCGCAAGTGGCACCGGCCCAGGCGGCGGATACGGAGGGGTCCGGGTCGCACCGGACGGGATGCAAATCACACGGCATGAGATCCGCAAATATCGCTGCTCCGGCTGAAGTGACCTTCCTGCTCCTCCGTCCGCCAAAGAGCAAGTGAGAGACAAAAGCCGGCGCGGCAGAAGGGCGGCAGACCGTTAGTGAGAGACGCACTGCATGTTGTAGCTCCCGGCCGATATGACGTCGTGTAATGAGGAAAAGGGAAAGGGAGGGGGGAACGGTATCCGTTATAAAAATTTGGATTTGGAATAGGAGGGAAAAAATAAGCGAACGGTGTAGAGCAAAAGCAGTCTCGTAAATTCATTAAGAAACGAGAACAATCACTTCCCTGTTTTTACGTATTGCATTTCCTAACGATCAAACCAGCAGACGTTATGCGCGCATAAACAACCTGTCATTATTTTTTTTCCTTTCCAACTTTCTTCATACGACATGCGACATATTACACACATATCGTCCCCAATTAAAAAAAAAAGTACGTTGAGATACTTTTGCTATCTTACACAAAGATTCAAACCGCCAAGAGCGATGGAGCTAAAAAAATCAGAGCCTTCTTGTATCAGAACAGGGCTGAGCATCCGTCGTGATCCGTCGGGTAATGAAGTACCTCTCCTCCTATTAAACGCCATATCACAGCCAAATGCAAAGCTCGTCAGGCTCAAAGACAATGAAACACCCGGGGTAAAAAAGTAAACTAAAAAAATTCTTGGTAACACGCAAATATTTTGGACGGGCGGAGACCTTTTGTCTTGCCACCCAAACGTCTTCCGAAAGTTTTTTGAACGCATCTGAAACTAAGTTTTTCTTCCTGCATCCCCATAAGTCACAGGCTGCTTTTTCTCTCCCTGTACCGACCTGGTTTGCATGTAATGTGGGAACACGGGGTGAGAAATCGCACTAGTCCGTAATGAAACGTCAATGAGAAAAAAGAAAGGACACATTTTTTTTCCATTCGTCCCCATACGATGCACTAAACGCACGTATGAAAAGTGCAGCGCGGTGCATAGATGGGGTCCGACGGTACGGATTTTTTTTCTCCATGGGAATACGCGACAGATGAGACGCGGCTATTAAAAAACCCTGTGGGTCAGGGGTAGCCTTGCAGAGCCTAGGCACAGCAACTAGTATTCATTTTTTATCCGTGGGGTGGCAAGCGCTTGAAAAAAAATATACGGAGATGGGGACGCAAGATGCAATCCTCAGGCTACCGGATAAGAATTCTCAGGCTGGGCAGGGCAGAGGGCCGGCCGGGTGTACATAAAAAGAGCCGAGGGTGAGGCCCGGGCTACCGTACCTGGCTAGAACAAAAGGGTCGCCCTAAAAAACGGTACAAGGTAAAAAAGGACGGACCCACCCAGAGAGGGGTCGAAAGGAAGGAGGGAGCGAGAGAGAAGGAGAGAGAGAGACTGCGACCCTGCGAGAGTGGGCTGAGGGAGGGGGTAAAAAAATTGTACTAGTCCTTATAACGGATCCCAAGACGATCCGTTGGACAACGAATGGGCACCCAGAGGGGCACCCAGCAAACGTGCAAAAAGGGTGCAAAAAGGGTCTGCCGGGGCCCCAAGAGGCCCAGGTTGCCGTCCCATACGCACTCCCACGCTGATCGCAAAAATAGATCGCCATCCTCCACATGGCGAGTCGAGCAGACACCTTTTGTCACCCTAAAGCCCCCCCCCCCCTCTTTTTTTAGGCGGACTCTTTTTCAACCCCTGCTTCTCCACCCGCCGCCGTCCCCTTTAGCCGGCAACATGTGACATGCACCAATATTATCAGTCTATAACTTATCTCCGCCATCGGCCGAAATAAAATAATGTAAAACGCGACACACACACACCACACACAGCTGTGCCTTCGGCCGTGCCAACCCCACAGAAGCGGCGGCGGGGCGGGGTGGGGCGGCGCGCGGGGGTGCTTTGCGGCCGCCACAATCGCGACACAAACAGGGCGGTAGACAAAAGCGCGGCCATGTCGCGGCGATGGGGCCCTTATCCCGCCGGACTCGCCAAATGCACGCCCCGCCACGCCCCGCCACGCTATCCCTCCCGGGCCAGGCGGCGTCGGCGGTTGTGCAAGAGGCCGTGGGGTCACATCGCCCTCGGAGCCTGAGCTCGCCCCGCTCGCCCCGCCCCGCCCCGCCACTTTTAC